ACTAGAGGGAAACCAGTCTGGACCATCCGAAAGAAGGAAAGGGCCGAAGCTGGAGACAGGTGAGGAGACTGGGAAGGAGACGTGTCCTGCTTCTAGAGAAGAGGAAGCTTTTGAGGAATCTCAGGGATGACGGTCCTTTTTAGCGCAGAGTCAGGGCTGGGTCTTTGAATGGGGAGCCTCAGGCCACGCTCTTAAGAATTGGTGGGGCCAGCTGAATTGAAATGGAATTTAATACACTGAACATGTTCCCTCCCTGCGTATTTAATTACTCTCTCCTGCCCTCCTATGAACAATTACAAGGGCTGGTTGCTCCAGGGAGTGTCTCTTTGCGTGTCTTTGTCAACTCTACTTCCCTCCTGGGTTTTGTTTTGTTTTTTTCCTCTTGCAACAGGGAGAAGAGCCTCTTTTCCCTGAAAGGCAAAGCCAACAAAGGGCCCCGGATGCAAATCTACAAGTTCCTCCTGGAGCATTTTACTGACGAACAGCGATTCAACATCACCTCCAAAATCAGCCAGAACGTCCTGGGTACGGCTGAAGCTTTAGACCAGCGGTCGCCAATCCCCACAGCCAACTTACAGGGGCTGTGGCCTATTCACAACTGGGCCACGGGCCGGCGTACACAGACTTGTGCATGCACATGTGCGCTGGCTTCTGCAGCCTTGTTCTCCCTCCCTCCCGTAGCTGGGCTGCCATCCTGCAAAAGATGGGGAGACCGCTGCTTTAGAGGGTTTAAACCCAAACACCTGGATAGAAATAAGAAGGCCTTTTCCAAAGCGGCCATGCTTTGCAGATAGGAACCGTGCCTCGCTGCGGGTTTCCTGCCTTTTCTCAAAAGAAGAGCTCTGGGAGGTCAATCCTCGGTGACTGATAATTCTCCTGATATGATTTCATAGCTGATATGGCACTAAAGACTTGTATACCGTTTCACAGTGCTTTTACAGCCCTCTCTAAGGGGTTTACAGAGTCAGCCTCTTGCCCCCAACAATCTGGGTTCTCATTTTACCAACCTCAGAAGGATTGGAAGGCTGAGTCAACCTCAAGCCGGTCACAATCAAACTGCTGACAGTGGGCAGAGTCAGACTGCAGTACTGCATTCTGACCACTACGAAGGGAAAGAAGAAAGGAAAGGACGGAAGGAAGGAAGGAAGGGAGGAAAATAACATTTTACCTCATTTTACCGACCTCGGAAGGGTGGAAGGCTGAGTCAGATCTGAACCGGTCAGAATTGAACTGCTGACAGTGGGCAGAATTAGCCTGCAATACTGCATTCTGACCACTGCGAAGGGAAGAAGAGAGGGAGGGAAGGAAGGAAGAAAGGAAGGAAAAAATAGCATTTTACCTCATTTTACCACCCCAGAAGGCTGGAAGGCTGAGTCAGATCTGAGCCAGTCAGGATCGAACTGCTGACAGTGGGCAGAACTAGCTTGCAATACTGCACTCTGACTACTGCAAAGGGAAGAAAGAAAGGAGGGAGGGAAGGAAGGAAGGAAAATAGCATTTTACCAACCTTGGAAGGCTGAGTCAGATCTGAGCTGGTCAGGATCGAACTGTTGGCAGGAGGCAGAGTTGGCCTGCAATGCTGCCTTCTCACCAATGCGCCACCACAGCTCTTCCTATGCAAGAGCAAGGCCGCCCAAGGCATTTGGTTGCTTGAAACTGAGTTATCAATGGTAAATTTCCTCCCTGAATCAAAATAGTAGTAGACTTCCGCTTACAGCCACTTACTCGGGGAGCATTCGAAGTGACAATGCACTTCCTACCACCATCCAAGAAGTGCCTCGGTGGCGCAATGGTTAGAGTGCAGTACTGCAGCCTACTTCTGCTGACTGCCAGCTGCCTGAAATTTGGCAGATCGAATCTCACCAGGCTCAAGGTTGACTCAGCCTTCCGTCCTTCCAAGGTTGGTCAAATGAGGACCCAGATTGTTGGGGGCAATAGGCTGACTCTGTAAACCACTTAGAGAGGGCTGTAAAAGCACTACAAAGCGGTATATAAGTCTAAGTGCTATTGCTATCCAAAGATACTTACGCCCTAATCCTGAAGTTCCAACCACTGCCATCACAGTCACATGATCGCCTTTGGAGCGCTGAGCAACCAACCTGAATTGATGGCCGTTTACAGTGCTCAGTAGCCACATGGCTACGATTTAGGACGTTTTTGCTCAAAACCAGTGTTTATTTCCATGTTTTGGCAAAAAAAAAAAAAAAAGCAAACAATAGTTTTGCTTCACATACTGCATTTGCTTAATTTGCAAAAAGGTCTGTAAAATTAGGTTGATCCCGTGGGTATCACACGGGCAGGCTCCTTACAGTCATAACTCAAGGACCACCTGCACACACAAAATAATAGACGTGGGCACCACACACCCAAGTCTTAAGGGCCGCTCAGCTAAATTAAATAACTAACCCAGGGGGTCTTCAAACTTGACAGCTTTAAGACTTGTGGACTTCAACTCCCAGAATCCCTCCCCCAGTCATGTTAGCTCAGGAATTCTGGGAGTTGAAGTCCACAAGTCTTAAACTTGCCAAGTTTGAAACACCAAAGATCAGCCCTGAAGGTAATTGCCTCATTCTGTTGCCTGGATGTCCAGGGCAGGAGGGAGAGAGATAAATAGCTTCCTGCTGCAATGTTTGGTGTTCTCCTTTTTCCAAAATTTGATCGTAGCCTGCTTTGTGGATGGGATTCTGCCACTCAATATGGAAGCCAACCAGCTGCTCTCGGATACCTTTGAGATCTTGAGCTGCAAGGAGATCAAACTCTCGGCCATGAGATCCAGACCGGAAGAAGACATCCAGCCGGAAGAAGACGAGTTGGCCATGGCCAATGCCGTCATGCAGGTGGCCCAGAAGAAGCTGATTTCGCAAGTGAGTCTTACAAATAACGCCACCTGGAGTAGGTTGTTCCTTTTAGTTTTCCCAGAGCAAAATAAATAGAATTCAATAGAATAACAGCGTTGGAAGGGACCTTGGAGGTCTTCTAGTCCAACCCACCGCCCAAGCAGGAGAACCCACACCATTTCTGACAAATGGCAGTCCAATCTCTTCTTGTAAGTCTCAAGTGATTGGCGCTCCCACAACTTCCGAGGGCAACTTCTGTTCCATTGGTTGATTGTTCTCACTGTCAGAAAGTTTCTCCTTGTTGCCAGATTAAATCGCTCCCTGTTCAGTTTCCATCCATTGTTCCTTGTCTGGCCTACAGGGGCTTTGGGAAATAGCTTGATCCCTTCCTCTCCGGGGCAGCCCCTCAAATATTGGAAGACTACTATCCTGTCTCCCCTGGTCCTTCTCTTCACTAAAGACTAGCCAGGCTCAGTTCCTGCAACCGTTCTTCGTATGTTTTAGCCTCCAGTCCCCTCATCATCATTGTTGCTCTTCTCTAGACTCTTTCTAGCCTCCCAACATCTTTTTTACATTGTGGTGGCCAAAAACTGTGGTCTTACCAAGGCATTATAAAGTGGTATTAACCCTCCACATGATCTCGATTCTCTCCCTTTGTTTATTCAGCCAAATAAGTGACAATTGGTTTCAGTGGGAAAAGACGCCTCACTTCCCATCTTGCTCGTCATGCTAAAAGTCACCGTTCCTGGAAACGTTCTCAAATACCCCAAAGTTGATCCCATCTCTATGAAGGCTTTCCTCGTGGTGCGCTCTCTGAATTGTTTGGAGTAGGCAGCCCTCTTCGCCTTAACCGTTATCTTTCCCTATTCTGTCCAAATTCTAGGTCCAAAAGAAGAATTTCATTGAAAACGTCATTCCCATCATCACTTCGCTGAAGACCTTGTTGGAGCAAAACAAACTCCCAGCGTTGAAGGACCTCATGAACTACCTCCGGGTAATCTTTCTCAACTGGGATCATCATCAGTCTCTTTTTAACAACCTCATAAATCCCTTGCGGGGTGGAGTCTGGGCAACGGAAGGGAGCTGTTCACTGGCCGGATGCCCTTCCTGTCGCCAGTGCAGAGTTTTGTTCAGCAGATATATTCTTATCGTGCCCAGAGAGAGAAATATCTGCCTCTACCTGGGATCGAACTCGCAGCCTCCTGATTGTGAGGCGAGAGCTCTTGCCTCTAGGCCACCACACCACTCCATTGCTCAGCTGGGATACTTGTATTAAAATCTGAGTCACGGGGCAGCACGTTCCTGAAGCTTGTGGTGAATATTGCTATCCCATCTGGAGGGAGTCACGTTCCACCATGAAAGCCAAGGGTAGAGATAGTCAACCTGATTGAGCTAAGACAATACTTTATTTATTGTCACAGTGCTTAGAAGGTAGGCTAATTCTGCCAACTCCCAGCAGTTCAATTCTCACCGGCTCAAGGTTGTCTTAGCCTCCCATCCTTCCAAAGGTGGGTAAAATGAGGACCCAGATTGTTGGGGGCAAGAGGCTGACTCTCTGTAAAACCACTTGGAGAGGTCTGTAAAAGCACTGTGAAGCGGCATATAAGTCTACGTGCAATTGGCTATAGAAGTGTTTTCAACCTTGGCAACTTCATGTGTGAACTTCAACTCCCAGAATTCCCTGGGTTGTTGTGGGGGGGGAAACAGAAGGCAGAAGGAGTCTTAGATATCTTCGCCACCTTGAATTGTTCATGAAAATAATAAAGGCTGGATATTATAAGATCCATCAATCGATCAAGGGTTAAATAAATCAAGGAGGAAAAGCGACGTGGTTGCTCAGTGGCTAAGATGCTGAGCTTGTCGATCGGAAAGGTTGGCAGTTCAGCGGTTCGAATCCCTAGCGCTGCATAACAGAGCGAGTTCCCATTGCTTGTCCCGGCTTCTGCCAACCGAGCAGTTCGAAAGCATGTAAAAAAATGCAAGTAGAAAAATAGGGACCACTATTGGTGGGAAGGTAACAGCATTCTGTGCACCTTTGGTGTTTAGTCATGCTGGCCACATGACCACGGAGACGTCTTCGGACAATGCTGGCTCTTCGGCTTTGTAACGGAGATGAGCACCGCCCCCTAGAACCGGAAACGACTAGCACATATGTGCGAGGGGAACCTTTACCTAAATCAATCAACTCGAATCCATCCAGAAAACCCAACCAGCGAAACCCCTTCCTACCCTCTCCAACCCTCTCTGCTTTTATTTTTGCTTTCCTCCAGGAGATGATGCAAGATTATCGCCATGAAATCAAGGAGTTTTTCGCCCTGGACAAGCAGCTGGCGGCTGAGCTGGAGTACGATATGAAGAAGTACGAGGAGCAGCTGGAGAGGGAGGCTGAGCAAAACCAGGAGCTGAGCGTAGATCACGTAGGCCACAACACGTCAGTGGCCAGGCCGGTACGGATCTCCCTTTCAGGCTAGGGGTTCAAGTCCCACGGAGCTCATTCTGAAGCCATTCAGGGTGTTTTCCCCATGAAGTGGAGAGAAAGGAGCATTATGCAGGTGTCCTCAACCTACAACCACATTTGAGCCCATAATTTATGTTGCTATTAAGCGAGTTAGTTTTGCTCCATTTTACGACCTGCTTTGTCACGGTTGTTCGCTGAATCCCTGCAGTTGTTAAGTTAGTAACCCGGTGTCAACTCATAAAGTATTCCTCTGGTCTTTTCAGAAAGGGAGGGGGGAAGCAGTGGACAGCTTGCAAAACCGAAAGGGCATTCCATAAATGTTTTCAAAGATAGTAACTAAGTGACTGAAGTTTCTGCTGCGCAAAATTCTAACTGGAGAGCATGATTGATGACTCTGATGTGTCCCATTGGAGAATATGAATTATGACACACCTAGAGGGTGCGGGGGAAACCAGGGACAAGGGTGACAATGAATGATGTGTCTCAGAGTCAGCTACACCCAGGCAATGCTGGCATGTTAACTCCCAACAAATCCTTTCGAAGTTTTGGAAGTTTGGCTCGAGACTCAGAATTTAATTGGAATAACTGCCGGAATCTTTACACCTGGTTGTTAAGTGAATCTGGCTTCCGCAATTGATTTGGCTCATTGGGAAGGTCGCAAAAAGGACATCACGTGACACTCCCCTCTCCCCCGCCAGGGACAACTGCCTCTGTCATAAATGTGAGTCCGTTGCCAAGCACCTGAATTTTGATCCCGCGGCCGTGGCGACGCCATGACAGCCGTAGGTGTGAAAAACGGTCCCAAGTCACGTTTTTTTAGTGCCATCGTAACTTTGGAACAGTCACTAAGTGAATGGCTGTAAGTCGAGGTGTCAGCATTGCAGGAAAACTCCACTCCAACCAGTAACTCCGAGACAGACATATTCTCAAAAGTTCTGGTTTTTTTGCATAGTAAACTGGTCCATCTGGGGAATCTCGAATATGAAAGTTCCAGGTTTCCTTGCAATAAGTAAAAAACCACGAATCCAACTCCCTACACCCATCATCGCATCACATGCCCCAATAACCACCCGTCCCAACTTGAGATGTCCCCTCACCCAGGTGCAGAAACAACATGACCTTGACTTAGAAGAAAAATGTTATTATGTCTAACCACATACATTCTAAGAACTTCGCCCGTCGCATTTTCCCAGGCTCAAGAATGGGGCAGTGTGGAAGCGTCTGGTCTCAATATGGCTTCCAAAGCTGACATGAGGACTGAGGTTGCAATGGTCCTTTAGCCCCTCCTTTCTGTTTTCTCCTTCAAATAAACAGTCTTCCGGCTTGGAGAGGACTTCACATCCTCGGAATCAGATGGACAAGGCCTCCCCGCCTACCCAAAGCAATTCTCCCCCTCTGCGATCTCCTCTCTCGCCCCTTGCAATGTTTACCGTTCCCGGGCCGGGAGCCATGAAACCCAGAGCCAGGTACCCCTCCTCTTCCTTTTCAGCCTGTGTGGCGCGAAAATGCGCTTCATCTGTTTCCAACAGAGCATTTAAGTACCGTCTCCGCCACTCGGCGGGTGGGGTGGGGGAATGCTTGAAGCTCCTCGGGTGGGGACGAAAGGGCCAGCCATATGCACTGTTGGTTCTCCTCGTAGGAATCTGTCCCTGAGTACTTTTGCCATCCTCAACTCCGCTAAGCAAGCCGTCGAGGCCCTGAAGGCGAAGCGCGGAAGGAGCATGGGGACTGGGCTGGAGTTTCTGCAGAGCGGACAAAGCGATAAAGGTAGGCTGTTCTCCAACCACTTTAGTCTAGTGGTTAAGGCTCCAGGCTAGAAAATGGGAGTTCTAGTCCTGACTTAGCCATGAAAGTCGGCTGGGTGACCTTGTGCTAATCACCAGGTGCCAGTGAATTCTAGTGCTGCCTTAGGTAAGAAAGCCAGCTGGGTATCTTTGAGTTAATCACCAGGAGGCAGGGAATTCTAGTCCCGCTTTACGCATGAATGCCTACTGGCGGAGAATCAAAAAATGGTTGGAGGAAATTACAGCTGAGCAGATTGAATTAAAACCAGAATTCTTCCTATTAGGGATATTCAATAGACAACTTCCCCAAAAAGCTAAATATACAGTATAATATTACACATACTTACTGCAGCTAGATTAGCTTTTGCAAAACGTTGGAAACAAGCCTATATTCCAACAGAGGAAATGACTATTCAGAAAATAGGAAACTCTGCAGAAATGGATAAATTGACCCTAGCACTTAAGGATAAAGAATCATCAGAATATTACAAGAGTTGGGAATGTTGGTACGATTGGATAGAACAAAAATAGATAATATAATAGCAAACATTATTAAACTGTAAAGGAGATTAAGCTACATCGGTAGTAACTATATACTCGCATTAAGATTTAATTGTAAATATGACGCCAATAATGATAACAAATAAGGAACCACAAACTGTTGATAATGGAATTGCCCTAGATTCATTTTTTTTCTTTGTTTTCCTATGTTGTGTATGTGTTTGTTCGTTTATTTTAATTGTATATTCAATAAAGTTTGCTTTTTAAAAAAAGAAAGCCTGCTGGGTGACTTTAAGCTAATCCCCAGGTACCAGTGAATTCTAGTCCCTCCTTAAGCACAAAACTAACACACTGCAGATATTTTCTGTGGCTAACATTGTCTCCCTTTTTTTTCTTCTCAGCTTCCTTTTGCAGTTTGAACCACCCGTCTTCCGTTACCAACAGACCCTTGGAAGGCCGCGCGATCAGTACTCCTGAACGTAAGTGTCTAAAAAAAAAAAAAAAACTATTTTGGTTTGAAAGTTTCCTTGCTTGGAGGTGGAGCAGCTGGTCTGTTCCAGAGAGACTCTTAGTTCAGGGGTTGCTTTCCCAAACAGTTCTTTTACAGCCCTCTCTAAGCGGTTTACAGAGTCAGCCTCTTGCCCCCAATAATCTGGGTCCTCATTTTACCCACCTCGGAAGGATGGAAGGATGAGTCAAACTTGAGCTGGTCAGGATCGAACTGCTGGCAATTGGCAGATACTGAATTGCAATACTGCATTCTAACCACGGGAAGGGAAGGGAAGGGAAGGGAAGGGAAGGAAGGAAGGAAGGAAGGAAGGAAGGAAGGAAGGAAGGAAGGAAGGAAGGAAGGAAGGAAGGAAGGAAAATAGCAATAGCTGAGTCAACCTTGAGCCACTCAAGAATTGAACTGCTGAACTGTGGGCAGAGTTAGCCCTGCAGTACTGTATTCTAACCACTGTACCACCACGGTTGGTTAGCTAGTTAAGTGACGTTCCTTGGTGAAAAGGCCAGGTATAAATGTAATAAACATTGAGTTTTTCCCATCAGCGTGTACTCAAGGTTGCCCATTTTGGGGTGTTTTTTTTCCCCCCCCAGAGTCCATTAACAACGTGACCTTCGGAGCCGGAGTCAGCCAAATTAGCCTGAACCTCACATCATCTTGTAAAGGCAGGTGGAATCCCAATTTCGTTCTTGTGTTTCTTTTCTTTTCTTTTTTTTTTTGAAAAACTTAAGCGTGGGCCTGGCAACCTCGCTATAATATCTCTTCTGTTCCTCCTGCAGTCAAAGAGGAACCACAGGAGCAGATCATTTGCTTGAACTCCCTGGATAAACCGTGAGTATAAATGAAACTCTTATGTGTCTTTTTGCACTCTCCTTCTTCCCCACGATCGGTGTGCGTGTGTGTGTGTGTGTGTGTATCTAAGGGTGGGTTCCACTTTAAAAAGTAAAACTAAGAAGCCTCCCCCCCACCCACCGGTCTCATAATTATTAACCCCAATTTTATATTTCTTTTAGCTACGTGGTCATCTTATGCTCCTAGTTTTAGCGTATAATAGCAATAGCACTTAGACTTATATACAGCTTCATAGCGCTTTACAGCTCTCTCTAAGAAGATTACACCCTATTACCCCCAACAATCTGGGTCCCCATTTTACCCACCTTGGAAGGCTTGAAGGCTGAGTCAACCTTGAGCCAGTCAGGATCAAACTCATGGAGAGAGCAGTGAGTTAGTCTGCAATACTGCATTCTAACCCCTTCCTTCCTCCCTCCCTCCCTCCCTCCCTCCCTTCTTTAGCACATAGCACTTAGATTTATATACCACTTTACAGTGCTTTACAGCTCTAAGTAGATCACAGAGTCATCCTATTGCCCCCAGCAATCTGGTGAGATTTAAACTGCCAAATTGCAGTCAGCCGGCAGTCAGCAGAAGTAGCCTGCAGCACTGCACTCTGACCACTGCGCCACTGTGGCTCATGATGGATCTCAGCTAATTCTCCTGGCATTCTTTTTTTTCTTTTTTAACTTTCTTTTCTGCATTCTCTTGTAGGCTGCCCCCGCCCGCACCATGGAGGGTGAATTCTCCAAGAAGAAGCAGTCCATCCAGTTTAACACTGCGGAGATCCAGCCGTAAAACATCCCGACAGCCAACAAAATGACTGCTTTTGTTCCAGGCAAGAATGCATCTTGCCTACAAGCAGAATCATGTTTCTAGAGCACTCTCAGTACCTTTGGGAAGATCATCGATCGATGCCTCCTAACTGTTCTTTTTTATTCTCCCCATGTCAAGCTTGCTTGCTTTTATAATCGGTGGGCTATAAATAACCTGTTTAGTAGTACTGCAGTTGGAAATACTCAATGGCTGCCTGCCTAGACAAGCCCCCCCCACCCCCTATACTTTGTTTGATATGTAGATGTCCTCTGGAGTATTTGGGTTGGTTGGGGTCCATGAAGCTCGTTTAGGTCTGGGACTAACTTTGACAATTGACGCGTAGCCCAGTGTTCTAAGTCCGCATGCCAGAAATGTCACACAGAGCCACCTCTCTGGGCACACCAGCCGTTGCCTGTTGCTCTTCCGCCGGCCAGCTGGTCTTCACGCGCTTGGAAACCGGAAGAGCAGCTTGCTTAGAGCACATGTGCGCCACGGCTAGTTGATCCTTGCATGCGCGTTAGAAAGCTAAGCTTCCGGTTTCTGGCACTTCCGGTTTCCGGCACTCCCATGCACGCACGTTGGGGAGCTCTTCTGGTTTTCAGCGTGCGTGCATGCTCTCATTTTGGCACTTGGTGCCAAAAAAGGTTAGCCCCCACTGTTCTAAGTCTTTCTCACAGCCAACCTCTAGCAGGAAGCTTCATTTTACATCCTCGTTTTGCATCGGTCGAGAGCCGGTGAATCTAAGAGCATATGGAAGAAGTTCCATACGGCTAGTGTCTCTGGTCTAGGCCAGACCATGCAAGCATGGGGAGAAGCTTGGGGTGGGGGCAGCTGGGAGAATGAAATCTCCTGGAAGAATTGTGGGTTGAAATTTCACACCATAATTCCTTCCCCCATGAAAATGATTGCCCAGCCCCCAGAAAGAAGAGATCCACTACAACCTCAGAATCTTCCTTGGAACCGAATCCATATTTTCTCCTGCAGTTAAAAGAATGGCTGGGGGTCTTAGACCAAGACCTCGAGCAATTGAATCAAACAGATTTCCAGGGGGGGGAAAAAAAACCCACACCTGTTCTTGTAAAGACCGCTTACCCTAAACCAGGAATCTTGGCAATTTTAAGACTTGCAGACTTCCAACTCACACAAATCCTGAGGATTTCTGGAAGTTTGAAATCCCACCAGTCTTAAAAAGGTGCCATGTTTGGAGACTCCCTGACTAAACCAGCATCGCGTGTCAGGGTCCATAATGACTAGCTAACCCCGGTGTGAGGATTATTTATTGCATTCCTACCACGTTCTTAATTTTACTATATACAGAATAAATACTTGTACAAACTTCCAAATGCTGCCGCTTGCTTTGAGTCAAAGCCTCGTGTCTCCTTTCGTTCTTTCGTTTAATCTCACTGGGAAAGAGCTTCAGGTCCAACAGGAGACACGTGCCCAAGGGGCCCAATGAATGTCAGGATTTGAGACCTTTTTTTCCCATCTACAGCGGGTTTATTTGAAGGAGGGAATCCCAGATGTTGAGTTGAATGGCGGTCCAAGCAATCTTTGGGGATGGAGATCAAAACGCTCTATGTAAATGTTGGGGTTTTTTTCCTTCCTATCGTCGTCCCACAAGTGGGGTCCTTTTTTAAAAAAAAAATCAACTGAATTGATTGGTTGAGGCAGGGATTGACTGTCTGGCTTGTCCCCTGAGCTTGACATCATGAGCTGAGAGTGACTGTATCAGGGCTCTGACAAATCCACCCTCATTCAAATCAAGTCTCTAGCCGCATCTCAGAAAAAGTAAATTGGTTTATTAGAAATTGCCATGTTGGCGCGTGGCTGGGTGCAGCCGGTACTAAATCACACCATACATTTTCCACCCCCTGGATGTGACTTCTCCAATGGGACACATCCATCTCCAAGAGTTATCCATCATGTTCTCCAATAACCTTCTTATGCTCCGACAAGTTTGGATTACCGAGGTGAATATCTAGGCACTTAAGGAATGCACTGTTTCCCCCCACTCCCTTTTTTCTAGCAGCTAAAAAGACCAAAGGAGTATCTTTTTAGTTGACAGACTCGCCTTACGTGCCTAAATAGGGACTAGAACTCCCAGTCTCCTGGTGATTGGGCCCAAAGTCACCCAGCCAGCTTTCGTGCCTAAACTGGGACTAGAAGCCAGTCTCCTGGTACCTTCACCGTTAAACCAAACTGGCTCTCTATGTAAACGTTGAATAAAAACACATCTCCAGTTAGAAGAATTAGAAAACGAGAGTATGGAAAGCTAGAACAGAGTTCCCTACTCCAGCATTATGAAGACTGCACCTAGCTTTTCATTCTCCGCATTTTGTAGGACCTTCAGGGTTCCTGTCGGAAATCTTCTTTTAAGTTCCAAACATTTTATAGGCTCTTTAGGATTAATCCTTTCAAGAGCATCTTGTCAAGTTGGTGTCCTCAATTCTATTTCCCTTGTGGTTAAATTAGAATTAAGGCAGCCAGGGTTTCATTTCCGACAGCAGGGAAAGGCCTTCCTTTCCTTCCTCCACCGAAGATTTGGTGGAGATCTCTTGGGTTTTAGAGATTTACTCGGTTGAGCTTTCCCTGGTGAAAGATGATCATACCGGGGTTGGAGAAATGTGATCGTGAGTCCATTGGCTGGAATTTATTGCTTAAAGGAAAAGAGCAAACGGCGGTTACACATGCTTTTAACTTCCAATGTCTCAATTTTGCAGTTGTTTATGGAGTTCTTTCGTGAAGATTTAGCTGTTCTTAAATCTTTGCTTTCCCCCTTTAAAAAAAAAACAATTCAGCCAGACACAAAAAAATATAGACTGTTGTCAACCATAGTTCTTATTTGTAAGAACTTGTAAGGGAACATAATGCTCTTGAAAGACCAACGTACACATTTCACCCCAAAGCCTCAACAGTCTCCTTTGCACTGTAGCTTGGTCAGTTGGTAGCTTGCAACTGACCAGTTCTTTGATCCATCCATCCATCCACCCACCCATCCATCCACCCACATCAACTCATACAGTATTCTGTCCATCACATATTGTTCATTGTATCATTAGATGCATGTACCAGACCAACATCCATCTAGAGCCCATTTGCTGATGGAAGCAGGGTTTTTTTTTTAACAACCCTGTAAGTCTCTTGCATTGGAATGGAGTCAGAACAATTGAATGGAGCTGAGTGTTTGCTAGCCAGATGCCCTTCCTGACACCAATGCAAGGTTCACAGCAGATATATTCTATGGTGCCCAGAGAGAGAAATATCTGCCGCTACCTAGGATCGAACTCCCAACATGATTGTGAGGTGAGAGCTCCACCTCTAGGCCACCACGCCGCTCCAGCTGATGGAAACAATGACCAAGGTAAAACAGGTCCAGGTTTGTGATGTGATGTTCAGCTGAAGATACACCTCTTAACAAAATGAAATTCAATGTAGAGAAAAGTAAAGTCCTACACTTAGGCAAGAAAAACCCAAAGTACCCATATAGACTGGGTGAAACCGGGCTCAATAGCAGTAAGTGTGAGGAGGATCTTGGAGTCTTAGTGGACAACCAGCTAAATAGGAGCCAGCAGTGTGCGGCACCCATAAAAAAAGCCAATGCAATCCTAAGTTGCATTAACAGAGGGATAGAGTCAAGATCGAGGGAGGTACTAATACCACTCTATAAAGCCTTAGTAAGATCACACCTAGAATACTGCACACCTAGAATACTGTTTTGGTCACCACACTATAAAAAAGATGTTGAGACTCTAGAAGAAGTGCAGAGAAGAACAACCAGGATGATTAGGAGACTGGAGGCTAAAACATACGAAGAACAGTTGCAGGAACTGGGCAGGGCTAGTCTAGTGAAGAGAAGGACCAGGGGAGACATGATAGCAATCTTCCAATATTTGAAGGGCTGCCACAGAGAGGAGGAAGGGGATCAAGTTATTTTCCAAGGCACCCAAAGGCCAGACAAGGAATAATGGATGGAAACTGAACAAGGAGAGATTCAACCTGGAAATAAGGAGAAATTTCTCGACAATGAGAACAATCAACCAATGGAACAGAAGTTGCCTTCCATTCCTGGAGGCTTTCATGAAGAGACTGGACTGACATCTGTCAGAAATGGTGTAGGGTCTCCTGCTTGGGCAGGGAGTTGGACTAATGACCTACAAGGTCCCTTCCAACTCTTGTTAATCTGTAGATCTCCTATCAGAGGTTGATGCCCTTCAGCTTTAGCGTCCCCCTGTAGCAAACAATCAAAACCGATACACCAGGATAGAGATGGAAATAAACTGCACTTGTGTGTGCATTTTCCTTAGATGTGTGTACTAATCTGACTTCAAAGTCCTAGTGAGACCTGGTTCTCACTCCGTAAGGATTGGGAATAAATATCTGATCGTTCTTAACTAATGTTCAAGAGCTTGTACTAAAGATAAGAAGATGAATACAATCACAGGTAATCCTCATCTTACAACCGTTCACTTAGTGACAGTTGGATGTTACAACAGCTCTGAGAAAGTGGCATATGACAGGTAGGTAGATAGGTAGGTAGGAAGGAAGGGAGGAAGGGACCATGGTGGCACAGTGGTTAGGATGCAGTATTGCAGTCTAACTGCCAACCGCCAACAGTTGGATCCTGACCGACTCAAGGTTGACTCAGCCATCCATCCTTTCTCGGTCACTAAAATAAGGACCCAGATTTACTCTGTAAACCGCTTAGAGAGGGCTGTAAAGCCCTGTGAAGCAGTATATAAGTCTAAGTGCTATTGCTAAGTAGGTAGGTAGGAAGGAAAGGAAAGGAAAGGAAAGGAAAGGAAGGGAAGGGAAGGGAAGGGAAGGGAAGGGAAGGGAAGGAAGGAAGGAAGGAAGGAAGGAAGGAAGGAAGGAAGGAAGGAAGGCAGCTGCAGGAATAACTATACTTTATTCACAACGAAAGTAACCCCACAGCTGTACCCCCATGCAGGGGTCCACACCAGCCCAAAAATTGTCCAGAATGACAACTTTATATATATTTATATTTATGTAAAACATTCTCAGCAAAGTTATATGCAATAACATTAGTACAAACTGATTCAGGTATTTACAATGTGTTTTGCGGAGACCTGTTTGTTAAAAGAGATTCCACTGGTGCATTTTTGAGACCCAAAAGACTCTAAATTCATTGGAAAGAGTTTCTAACCAGCATAAGACCACCGCTTTTTAAGAAGTCATTTTGCACCTGTTACAAATTTAACCGGAATTAATTGACCCAGCTTCAATGGAAGAAATTTTAATGGACTCATCCCATGCCACCAATAGTCCTTCCTCGGATCTGAAAGTCATCACCCCCGTTCATTAAAGTAACAAATACATTGGTGACCCGTGCCAACTCTGGCAGAGATGGAAGGTTTGTAGTACAAATTATGCCACCTTAAATCGCCAACTCATTTGGGTTTCTACAGAAAAAAACTCTGCAGGTAACAAACTGGCATTTCAAACCTTGAGGAATCTTCCCCATAGGTGCTAAATAATTTTGCCCAACAGTCCCCAACCTCTTCACTGCCAAACAATCCTGTGTGACAATGGCCATCCTAACTCACCGCTGGCCTTCTAGGATCTTAGGTTCTCTAGCCATAGATAACTCCTCTAACATATTCTGCTACTCTTTTATCATATTCGCCATTCAATGGAGTTCAAGACCTGAGAGCAAAATGGAAAGACCATGGTGCAGCTCAAGTTGAGTTGACCTTCTCAACTTCATCCTGGCCCCAAAGATCCTGGCCTAGATGCCTGATTCCTGCTGGCCAACTAAATTTTGAAAGTCTACGGAGAATCAAAATTCCTCCAACCTGCTCTATAGCATTCAACACTTACAGTTTTGCAAAGGAGGATGGTCCAATTGTTAGATTAAGTCTTCTTGGACTTCTAACTTGCCCCTAGTGGTCAACCATACCTGTTAATCCAGGTTAGGAATGTAACAGCGTAGACTAGGGGTGTCCAATCATGGCCATTTTAAGACTTGTGGACTTCAACTCCCAGAATTCCCCAGCCAGTCATGCTGGCTGGAGAATTCTGGGAGTTGAAGACCACAAGTCTTAAAATGGCCAAGGTTGGACACCTCTGGCGTAGACTTATCCCAAAGGCAAGAGGTACTGTATCCATTCTTCATTCTCCACTAAATATTCAAGGATTTTCTTCTTACTTTTGGGTGTCAGAGAGGCAGCCTTGGAAAAGGGTTAGTGAACATACTAAGGCAGAAGGGAAAGCCATTTTGATCCAGAAGGCAATCTTAAAAAGTTGATAGGGAGAAATAAAAGATCTTGGCAGTGGATAAAACACCTTGCTTTGGTTGAATGCCGAGGTAGCCACGGTTAAAAATCAAAGCCAGTTGGCCGGATTGGGGCACCTTGTGAAAGCTCCCCCACCCCGGCCTTAACATTAGTGCCACATTTCCCTTGGAATTTAAAACTATTGAATAGAAACAAAATGCACCAATGACTTCTCAACTTCCTTTAAAAATGAAAGAGAGAGAAAGCAAACCGATCCAGTGTGTTGGATATTCTAAGGCAGGTTAATACAGAAGATCAACAAACCTGGTTCTACACCGTTGTAGGTAATTTAAAAAAAAATACTGTCTCTGTTCAAGAATTAAGACTAGAAACTTGGAGGCTGAAAAAGTCACCCCTAAAAAATAAACCCTGTTTTGGGGGAGGAAAAAGACACTTTTTCCATCACAGCAAATCCTATGATCCTTGCTGTAGAATGGGGAGGGTATCCAAGCTTGGCAACTTTTAAGGCCTGTGGACTTCAACTCCCAGAATTCCCCAGCCAGCCATGCATGGCTGGCTGGGGAATTCTGGGAGTTGAAGTCCATATGCCAAAGTTAAGATATGCCTGCTATAGAGAAGACCATGGTTGGGAATTGGGAATTGCTAGAAGTTGCTTCTCGCTTTTGAGCCAGAAAAGTTGGCAGCTCCCATGCTTACCCGAACAGAAAAATTAGAGAATTGAGGATATAACTACACTTCATTTTCTCATTTCTCTTTTTCTTCAATGGACAAGTGGGATGCTCGAAAATGGAGATCAGAGTCTGCTCCATTTTGGGGCAGCTTAACTACGAACTTCATTTCAAAACCGCTGTATGAGTTTAGCCATCCCAGAACCTACAACGCTCATCCAAGATTCAGAAGTCAGTAATTTTGGAGCACCCCTCAAATGATTTGGAGGTTTCTGTTTTGGGCATCTTGTCGTCTCCCAAACTCCCTTCCAGTTACAAAATAATTCAAAACACATTTGATGCCTTCCCTTTATGCTCTTGGTGCTAGCTGGGCAAGTCTTTCAACTGTGCCCCTATTTTTTCCACAGGGGGAAAAAATAAATCTTAAATTACCTACCCCATGAAAGGAAATACCATTAAGTGTTTTGCCACGCTGCACTCTCAGTTAATACTGATATGGTTGGAATCAGTACAGGAAAGCATTAATTGGAAACCCTGTGAAGTCACTACATTATTACAATTAACACTGTTTGGCCTACCAACCTATTTACATTTTAAATTAAAAACAAAAAAAAAGGACTTTAAAAAAAAGTAATCAAAATACATCTTTACCCTCCGCCCCCCCCAAAAAAAACCCAATAACAACAATAAAAAAGAGAGAGAGAAATAATTAGACTGCAGAATTCTACAAACGAAAGAAGAAGTAGAAGAACAGTAGAAAACAAAAAAATCGGTCTTCGGTCCCAGGAACCAGATTGAAAAAGTCAGAACGGTTGGCTTCTTTTGTCGCGTTGGTGTTGTTGTCTGTTGTTGTCTGTTGTTGCTTAGCAACCCGAAGAGATGCTCGGCATGCGGAACCGGGCCTGCCAAAGGGCATCGAAAGTCTGCCGGGCACAGAAGGTTGTTTGTGATGCTGACCGTTCTTTCGTGGAGCGGTAGACAGAGGCAGCTCTGCAACCTTGAACGGCCTTGCGAGCGATTTCCCCACCCGGGAGATTTTAGGGTTAGGGGTTCTCCTGCCAAAGATGGAAGAGATGCTCTCCTTGCTCCCAGAGAGAGAGAAAGAGACTTGGGTTGTGTTGGCAACGGTCGCTTTCTGGAGTTGGAAGGTGGAAGTTTGGCAGTTTTTTTTTTTTTTTAAAAAAAAAACGGGTTTGGCTTTTGGCAACAACAACAAAAAAAAGAGTTTGTTTTGTTTTTTAAAAAAACCCACCCACCACGGTCATTGCGCCCGCGTGCTTGTAAATGCGAAAGGAGTAAAAAGGGACACGTTTTCACACACACATCGGCGATTGCCCGTTGGGGAGGAAGGTTTTTCTGGTCTCGCCACCGGGCCAAATCGAAGGGCCTCTGCTGTTTCAGATCACAAAGGAGGACTTGTGTCTAAAGTCACCCTGCATCGAAGACACAACACAGCTTGTTAAAGGAGGGGTCAGGTTGGGTGTGTGGGTGCGTACCTCTCTCCTCCGCTTTACCCAAATTAAACCAAACTCTTCTGGAACGAAAGGGGAGTTCAAGAGGTGTCGCCCGACAATTGTCGGTGGATGTAGCTCGTTTGGCTGATGACCAAGGAGGCTAAGGGGTTTGGGTTTTTTGTTTCCCCCCAGCATTGGGAGGATATATGCAAAGAATGTTGGTCAATTCTGGCTGGGCTGACCCATTGCGCCAGACCGTCTAAAATGGATTTGATTTTACTTTTCCCGTTTTGTGCGAACACGCAAAGGGCCGCGTTTTGTAATTTTGCAAGAGCTCAATCTGGCTGCTTTTTGTGGTGCTCTCCGAGCTTGGTTGCTTCCTTTGCAGATGTTTTATTACCCAGCTAGATAACCTCACCAGTGCCAGATGTGAGTGGGCTTTGTGGAGTGGAAAAGGAGGGGGGAGGAGGAGGAAGAGAAGGAGGAGGACTGTGAGATCTTCAGTACACTCTGAGCTTGTTTGCTTGCAGACGTTTCATGACCCAGCTAGGTAACATCATCGGTGCTAGAAGGGACTTGTATATAAACAGAGAGCAACACCCCGCTCCCTTCTAGCACTGATGATGTTACCTAGTTGGGTCATGAAACATCTGCAAGACAACCAAGAGACCCAAGGACCCCAAAGTTTAACCCTGAGCTACAAATATTTTCTTCCATTGATAGCCTCTTTTATATTTGGCTATCTACGGTTAAGCAAACTAAGTTATAGACCAGGGATCTTCAAACTTGACAGCTTGTTGGACTTGTGGACTTGATCTCCCAGAATTCCTCCCTCCAGTCATGTTAGCTCGGGAATTCTGGGAGTTGAAGTCCACAAGTCTTAAACTTGCCAAATTTGAAGACCCTTGCTGTAGACCAATGTTTGAGCCAAACCATGGTGGTCTCTGCCCTTGTTCCTTCCTTGGGCACTCCTAAATTCTCATCCCCAGAGTAGAGGTGGGGTTTAATTAGCAATTTTGGATAGGGATAGTGGGTGCTTCATGAATGTTCCTGGAAAAGCTGCATCCTTTGTTAAGCTGAGCAATGCTTTGGATCTGATTCCCAAAAGGTATTTTGGAGAAGGGGAGACTTGAATGCAGCAATTGTCTGCCACTTGTTAAAGCAGCTGCATCCCGTGCCTTTTTTTTTTAGAATTACAGAGAGATCCTTCGGTAGAAATGGACACACAGGTGCAGCATATTCCAAAACACAATTTGGAAATCAAATCCAAAATCCTACCTGATATTTACCACCCCCGCAAAGAAATGAAATTGTAATATCTGGTAATGTTGGGCTCTGGCATAGCTCCATAACTATTTTTCTTAGGATGGGGAGGAGAAGACTATCATAGTCGGTTGGTCTAAGAAGACCCCCTTACCTCCTCATCTGTGTGAATATAGTTCACGCCATCTGGTTTTGTTGGAGTCTTGTAGCTGGGAAGGGAAAGCAATGTTTAGTTGGAGCACATCAGTTAAACACAACAACTGTATCATCTCCTCTGTAGAAGGACAGACCAAGAGGGGGTGGAGTCAAGAGAGGAATCAGCCTAGAGTCCTTGCGTTCCCACAAATGGTCTAAATCCAACCCCTTTTGAATTATGTCAACTCGCATCTAGCGCCAATGTTGTGCTGGCCAACATGGTATCTATACATTCTTATGTATAGATAGATCTGTACCTATAACCACTTTATCATTCGGTAAAAAGTAACTCTTTGTGGTTTAATAAGGCATAGTTTCCCCTCTCCCAATAAGGATCAGTTGAATTCCATGCCATAAACCAGAGGTTGGCAACTTTAAGACCTGTGGACTTCTACTCCCAGAATTCCCCAGCCAGCTAATTCTGGGAGTTGAAGCCCACAAGTCTTAAAGTTGCCAAGGTTGGACATCCCTGATCTAAACAATTCCTTTCAACTTTGGTTCTATTGTGTTAAAATCAATTACAAAAAACAACAACCCTCCCTTGATTTAATTGGACTAAGGGAGAAAGGGGAATGAGTTGAAACCAAGCATGAGTCTACATATGCATAAAATATGTGTCATCAAAGCAAAACCCATGAAATATGTAAAAATGTGCACAACATACATAATAATATGCACAGGGCATCCAGGCGAATTTGCTAAACGGCCCACCTTGCCTGCTGCTAAACTCAACAATTTGGGATTGTCCATAAATTCAGCTTTGGACTGCTATAACTGAGAGCCACGGAATTAACACTAAAGATTTCCTGCATGTGATTTGGAGGCCTCTTGTGTGCTAAAGTTACAAAGACTATCCATAAGGGAAATCCATGCAATTTCAGTTTTTCTGAGAAAAGACGGAAGATCACCAGCAGCTTCAATGCCTGAGTCAGCTGAATAATTAAAAAAAAAGAACGATTATCGCTCTTCGCTGACATTGGCATGCTTTTCCTCTTCCTGGTGTGTTGTTTCCTGTTAGGGCTAATTCTGAAGCCATCTGTTGCTTTGGATTTGGTACTTAAGACTGCTGGTCCAACAGACAAGTCTCATTTCCTTTCATTCAACAGAGATCGAAGGAAAGAGAAAATTTGAGTATCCAAATTTGGAGTATACTCCAAATTTGAGTATTACTTGCCCAATGGCAGTAAATTGTTTTTTTTTTTTGATTGATTGATTGATTCACTGACTGATTGATTAAATTAGCCCTAACACTGTTAAAATGATTTTTTCTTAGCTCTCTATCATCCTCCCTAAACCGGCTTTTTACATTTATTCATTCATTCATTCATTCATTTATTCATTCATTCATTTGTTCATTCTTTTGTTCATTCGTTCATCCATCCACCCATCCTACTCATGCATTCATTCTTTTGCCAGGGCCAACATCTAAACTTGTCCCAACATTGTTAAAATTACATAAAAACCCTGGTCAAGATTTTTTCTTGGCTCTCTATCATCCTCCCTAAACTGGCTTTTTTCATTCATTCATTCATTCATTCATTCATTCATTCATTCATTCATTCATTCATTCATTCATTCTTTTGCAAGGGCCAACATTTAAACTTATCCCAACACTACTAACGTGACATAAAAACCCTGGTCAAGAATTGTTCTAAGTTCTCTATTATACTCCCTAAACTGCCTACAGAAACGCAGGATTAATGACAGCCAATCCTGTTTCTTTTGGCACCTATCCAGACTGAAGTTCTTTCTCTGTTTCTCTAGTCACTTCCGTACAGCACCCAGTGTTTTTCTACCAAGGAAGGATGAAGAAAGAAACTTGATCAGGAAGGGAAGATTTTCCAAGCAACAAAGTCAACATTTTTGGAGTGCTTCTGTTTATAACATGATTTGCCACTGGCCATGTTTCTTCTTTTCCCTTCTTAGTAGGAGTAGCACAAAATAAATTTCATACCCTGCCATGTGTGCACATACTTCCTTTTGGTTCATAAGCCCAGCACTCGACAATTAAGTCGTACCTGTTTCCGTTTTGTTTGTTGTGGACAAAGAAACCGTTCCTGTAGGCACAGTAGATCCCCACTGTGGTCAGGGACAGGACGATCAGCACCACCAACACTCCAATCACAATCCCAACAATATTAAGGTCATCTGTAGAAGGGAAAGGAGTGTCAGATGACATGTCCTCATTTCCTAAGTGCCCAACTCCAGAGTATTCTGGCTTCTACCAACCGAAGCATTTATCTCCAGTAGAAAGCTACCTAAAGTCATTGGATACAACATGGGTGGGAAAGGAAAGAAAGAAAAAGGAAAGGAAGAAGAGGGAGGGAAGGAGGAAAGAAAGAAAGAAAGAAAGAAAGAAAGAAAGAAAGAAAGAAAGAA